GAATCTCAGCCTTTGGGGCTGTACCTGGGCTGCTCGCTCACAGCTTTGAGACTGTCAGCAGAATCAGAAGAAACAGCGCAACTGGGCAAGGTACTGTTGATTATCAAAGCTGAAGAAATTCCTACTGCTATAGAGACACCGTTGAAGAGTTTAGGGTCCAGCAAGTCTCCCCAAAGACCCCAAAATCATAGGGTGCCACACACCAAGAGAGGCAGATGTGGGATCAGTCTCCCTCGCAAAGAGCATCTTTTTTTCCAAGACCATTTTCAGAAGCAGCCTTGTTATGGAGAAAGCCAATTTTGACATTTGTGATACTGTACTGCTAAAACTGTCCATCTAACAGTGCGTTATATTCTATCTCAATAAACAGTGACTAATATTTAGGGTTCCAGAATTTCAGTGCAAAGGTATTTTTCAAAGGAAATGTAGAAGGGGAATACATCCGTGAAGACAAATGAAAGTATTGTGTGCGTAAACACTTTCATATCTGCCTGGCCCTTTAAAACCAAAATGCGAGAGTTCATTTGCATTTAGATCTCTTTGGCTCCCTCTTTTCATCTAAAGACAAATCCTCACAAAGGCTGCTTAATTAGACCAAATTAGATTTCCACCTAGTGGCTTGTCATTCATTAGAAAACGCTGTTCTTTTTTTCTGTTTTGGTAATTATAGGCTGGTCTCGCAGTGTTCACTTCAGACTCCGAGTATGACTAGCATTCATGATTTTGTGCAGATGAGAGGAGAATTACTCAGTCGCATCAAGTCTGTCCATTTTACAAGTTGGATAAAGATCATCACTGGAGTCTTTTATGTAATAGGGTATACTCTTTCTTAAGTCTTTAATGATTAATTGTAATAGCATATCTCCCGGCAATTTTCAGGACTAAACGCTAAGTACAAACAGTACTCACGCGAAGCTGCTGTAGCAGACAGCAGGTGCCTTTCCTCAGATAGGGGCTCCTGTGTCAGGGACCCTCGCGTGCGGCCCTCGGTTATCATTATGGCAACGTTGCCCCAGCCGTGGTCCTGCCACGCTGGGTGCTGCACTGGTGGGTGGTAACGGAGAAGGTGGGAAGGTGCAGCTGGTGACTGAGCATGTGGAGCACAAACCATGGGCTGGAAGTGCCATCCGCAGCCTGGCTGCAACGCTGGTGTCTCACCCAGCGAGGGGCACACCTGTGTCCCACCATCCTCACAAACCTCTCAAAATACAGTTTCCAGAGGAGGGAGTCTTTCAAATTTGGACCTGCAGCTTGAGGGTTCCTACCTCGTAAGGCTTCAGCTCCCCATGTGGAAAAGCCACAATTACAGATTAATGCAGACTGCACATGTAGGCATATTCTGGGTTAGCAGTTTATCTAATCTGGAATATTTGTAGTGATGGGAGTTAAATTTACTGTAAGATCGCGCTGAGGTTTACCTTTCCTGAATCGGAGGACAACCTTTTACCTAAGCGTCAGCGTTGCCTCCAGGAAACTTTGATCAAAAATCCCTTCCCTCTCCTGTAAGCGACCTTAGTCCTTATAACATCTGTGAGACAGGGCCAACCACTCTGTCCCCAGCGCCGAACATCAGCAGGTATTTTACAGCTACCATTTCCCGATACCCAGCTGTGTCTAATGTACGAGCACGTACACCTTCTCCAATTGGTATCTTGTACTAACATGGTCATGGTCACTGCAGATCTGGAGTGTCCTTCTCCACGTGGCAGCCACCCCAGCAGAAACAGTTTCACTCACATACCACTGCGGGATACCGTAATCTGGTCTCCCAGGCTGGACGCAACAGCGTGCCAGAAACGGTCCATTTGTTTCCCCAGTCCAAACTCCGTTCCCATTGCTGTCCTGCATAAGTACATTAATTCTCTGCCTCAGTTTCCCCAGCTATTACAGCAGGATTATTGCTCAGTGACATGTTCTGAAGTTTAATAACTCAGGGCCAGATTTTGTGGTCCTTCATCAAGCAAAATTTATTTGACTTTGACCTTTTATGTTTATGCAAATCTTCGAAGATAAGTGCTAACCTATTATTAATAATCTTCCTGGGAGCAGAAGTTAGAAGCAGTTGGCTGTACACAGCCCAGCAGCCAGCCAGCCCCTGCTAGGATTTCTTCAGCACTACCAAATCTAGATTTTCATCTGCCTTTTTTTAAAAACAACATTCTTGTTTTCCCAGGCATTTTCATAAGAGAGGGCAAATAAATTTTTCCCTTCCTCCACCTTAAAAAAAAAAAATTTGATCAAATTTGCCTTTTTCAAAACACTGAACATTCCCTTTCTCATCTACCTAAACCTGATGTTGAGTTACTGTCCCCCGGAGGCTTTCAGTAGCTCAGTTCTGATGTATCCCTGCACTTTGTAGCTCACTGCCTTCTTAGAGTGTAATCAAACATCAAGCTAAGTAGCAAATAAATCTCCCGATCTCATAAGCTGCACAGCAAGATCATGTAAATGCAAATGAAGGGCTTGATTTCAAGCTGTCGCGGGGGGAAGAAGGGAAAAATGCTGGGCCTTGTCACCGCAATCACTTCACTCTGCAAGTGCAGTAAATCTGCAATAATAATAGTAATGGCAGCGTGACGGGAGGCTTTACTGTACAAGGGGGTGTAATGAAGAGTCGAACAGAAGGTAGGGAGAGAAGAAGGGCCTGGCGGAGCGCGGACGCCGGGGCGGGCGGGCTCCCGCGGGCCGGAGCCACCGAGGAGGAGCAGGGCAGCCCGAGCAGAGAGGATTCATGAATTTGCCCAGCATCTCCCCGTTGAAGAGCTGCCTCAAATGCCGGGATTAAAAATGCATGCCTGCCTCTCTCCCTCGGCACACAGGCAGGTCTCCTACCCTGCTCTCAGGCTCAGTCTTCTTCAGAAAATTAATGCAAGGAGCAGAGAGAGGCCATAAATACCAGGGGAGGAGATGTAGGCTGGCAACAAAACCTGGAATCCTTCAAGTTTTTGTACTTTGTTACACCTTTGAAACACACCCGCCTCTTAAAAACTGACCCTTTTCCAAGCCCTCTTCTTCCTTGGCAACGAACGTTTTCCAATGCCATTAGACACGAAGGGCTCAGATGCGGGGCTACGCGAATCGGAGACGACCAGACAAAGGCCGGGGAACTCGATACACCCGGCTCCGTTCTTCAGCCGACCGGGCTCCCCGCACCGATAAAACAGCCCCACCGCTGCCCTGCGGCCAGTCTGAGCGTGGCACTGTCCAAACACAGGACAGGCACGCTCGGCTCACGAATGAAAGTCATGTCCGAGAGGGAAGGGGGCATTAAGTGTCCTTAAAGACGCGTTCAGAGAGCAAACAAAGCCTCAGCCCACATCTCTCGCTCAGGCCTGGGAGGATGCCATCCCTGCAGGAGGTACTGGGAATGCTTCAGGAAGAAGATTAGAGTTGTCGTTTCTGAACGGGCTGTATAAACAATATTTAAGATGCCTGATTTTCCTCACCGAGGTCGTAAAGGGAGAAAATTTGCAGAAGGTACCCAGAGAAAATTAGGACCGCCTGGGATGCAGAGAGAGACGGTTTTAATTAGAGCCAAGAGGTGGGAAATAAGGCAGAGAAATGACATCTTAATGAGGTTTAATGAAGTTGTCTGCTGATGGGCACAGCTGTCAGACAGATCTGTATTCCAGCCAAGCGGCTCTGTGACAGGCTAAACCCGAACACCGGCAACGCTGGCGGAGCCGGGGAAGAAAAAAGGGCCTTCTGCGTCAACTTGGGCTCCGTCTCTCCCCACCGCTGTAGGACACAGCGCACCTACAACGCCCGAGGACAAACAGCCCACGAGGCTGCGACAGCGCCTCGCTAATTTAGGAACAAGAAAATCTGTAATCTTTGATTACGCTTTGCAAGGTTTCTTCCTGATATCACCCCCCGATTCTTTGCTTTTGCGATTAGAAATATCCTGGCACGCAACCAGAATCCTCCGAGTCCACCGCTTTTCTGCAGAGTCACGGGTTCTCGCCGTGTTCAACATATTGGACCAGTTTTTTTTTTTTAATTAATTATCCAGCACCTTCAGCTTTATTTATTCAGTGCAAAATGACTGTAAAATGCTACCTGATCACAAAAGGGAACAGCCTGCGCTCATTTTGCAACAGAGTAAATATCCAACTGCGTTTACCCAAGGTGCAGGGCAGAAGGGGACCTTTCCATTCTACACATTGCCATATTCAAAGGTCTGGAAACGGCTTTGCCACATATTTGTTACAAACGTCTCCCCTTTCCTTCGGTTTCTCAGCGCTTTCTCTCCCTCCCGCCGCACCTTCACCATAATAGCAAATCCCTGACCTCACTTAGCTGATACCGCATCAAAACACCATCCCAGGAAAGCAAAAAGCTGTTTCTCGTGCAGCTGAAGAATGCTACGCTATTTCCCTTGCATATCAGCGACAAGTAACCTAAAAATAGCTAGCGTGCAAACGCCTGTAAATACAGGAGAAATAGATCAACGTTGAGAGCTAGTTTATCATTCCTGGCAACAGTTTACGTGTTTTGAGCGAGCTTCCCAGCTCCCGCACAGCGTGCACATATGGTTTAGTACTGCTGCGCGATATTTCAGTTGCGGGAGCACTAAAAGCCCCATCGCGCCCGGCGCTGGCCACATCTGGAAGCGACGAGCTCGGCCGCAGCCGGAGGTTCGCGGGAGGCAGCCGAGGGAAAGCAGCCGCCTTCTGTGCGGGCTGTGACAGGCAGCTAAGTGCATGATTCAGTTGCTTTCACAAAGCTAATTACCAGCGCCAGGGTTGCAATGAAGGATCCAGAGCCCTACGCAGGGCAAGGAGGCAGATGAGGTTTTCAAGTCCATCAAAGGATTTTAGCAAGTCCAGAACATTCATTTTTGTGCTGAACTTGTGCTCCCCCGAAGGCCGTGGCAATCCCACGCTTGTTTTGCAGCATCACAAGTGAGCAGATCTATGAGACCAAGATGAGCTGCCTCCCTCCCAGCCCCGGGAAACAAGCACCCGGATTTCACCCCAAAGCCCTGGGGGAGGGGGGGTATGGCCTTGCAGGCCCAGAGGATGTGTTCCCGTGGATCAAAAGTGGCAAAGTTAGAGGCCAGCGTGCCAGGATCTGCAAAGGAGCAGAGCTATCACAGCTGCTCGGACAAGCGCCCCGAGGAAGCACAGTGTCACCCCGGACGTGCTGGCGAGGAGCCCAGCGCCCGCATCGCTGTGTCCGCAGCCGCTGCGCAAGGATGGTGGCACAGAGCCAAGCTGCCCACGTTTAATTTTTTACGTAGCTGCACGTAGAGGCTGGAACTGAGAAACGCCAATCTGACGATATACAAAACACGGCTCCAGGTCAAAAAGTTTCAGGAGTTACGGGCTACTTTCAGAGATCCTAACACAGAGCCCTCCTACGTGACATTCCTGCACAAACGGCTCCGGTGGGCAGAGCTCTCCGTGCCCCTTATCAACCCCATGCAGCCTTGACCAGCACCAGCAGCAGGCAGGAACCCGTCCATCTTCGGTCACAGCCTCTTTGCTCAGGCCCAGCAGAAAGGACAGTGTTTGACCCAGCACAGCACAAATCAGCATCTCCCCATCCAGAGGGCATTAACTCTGGAGTGTAATGATGGTCATGTCCGTGTCAGTATTCAACAGTTCCTCAGTGAACAGCACTGGAGTAGGATTTCAGCGCTTCCATTCTTCCAGCAAGACCCATGCCAACAGCTACAAACCCCCCAGCTTCCCCAGCACCTTTCCCATGGAAAACAGTCTGTCCCAAGGCACGTGCAGCCCATGTCCTGCATTAGGGCTCTGGGAGGCCGGTACCCTGGCCTGCTCCAGCCTCCCCTAGCAGGACCCTGCCAGACTGCCGGGCTCCCACCCCTGCCCTCCTCCACCACCTCCCTTTCAGGCGGCAACAAGGTTTCCGAACACACACATCCTGCAGCGACGCCGCCATGGAGATCTGAGAGCCAAGACAAAAGGGTGAAGGGACGTCACCTATCCCACAGATACCACCAGGCTGGGATACACATGGGCTAGGGAAGAGCTCATTTTAAAACTAAATAAAAATGCAGTTACTCGTCAGCTCAAGTACTCTTTGTTGTGCTATAAAGCCCAGGCTCTGCTCCCTGTCTTTCCCCTCCCTCACTTCCCCCCCGCCAGCTCGCCTTGAAGCTTGCTAATTCCTGGGCAAGAGTGGTGACAGGACTGCGTTTGGGGAAGTTTATGCCAGTTCTGCAGGAGGATGCATGACTTGGAAAATGGAACAACTTGAAGGAAAGTTAAGGCTAGCTACAGAAAGAGTCTCCCCTGCCAGCACCACTGCTGGGCACCACAAAGGAGAAATTAGCTAAACAAGCAGACCTCAGGTCCATATATCATAACTATAAGCAAGTCAAATCCCTACTTCCAGCAAGGTTGGGTCACTTAGTTCAGGTGCGTTGTGTGAAACTCAGCATCCCTTAAGCTTCAGCTCCGGCAAAGCTTCACAGCCATGAGTTTTCCTTTGCACAGCGGCACTCGCTTTCATCCGGGCAGCGGGATTCAAACCTGCACCAAGCAGAGCCAGAGCCATCACTGGCCCTCATGGCTGTGTAGCAGCCTCTTCTGGGCCTCTCTTGCCCTTTGCTTCCTGCTCCAAGCACTAGTCGCAGTTCCTGGTTTGACCCAATGTTTCACCAGCCCCAGAAAGCCCTTGGGAGCCAGGCTCCCGTTCACACTCCCAGCAGAGCCAGGCATTAGTGGCAACAGCAGGAGCAGCCAACAGTTCCGTTACAAATCTGTTTTCAGGGGGTTTAGCTTGTTATGCAAGGTCTTTACACTTCTCCTCTAACCTCAGTCTTCTTTTGCAGGCAGAGCTGGGAAAGCCCCGGAGAAGCAGCTATACCCTGCCAGGCCCTGATTTTTCATATGGGCTGTACATTCATGGGAGAGATGGAGGAGTCCCTGAAGGTACGACACCACCACCAAAATACAGACGTGCAACAAAGTCCTAATGCTTAGGGGGAGTCTCTTCTCCTTCCGGGTGCTCCACATTACTTTGCACTAAGCTGGAGGGGAAGAACTCCAGCATTCATCCACTTACATAAATATCACCCAGATTGCTTGGTGGCTAGTAAAGTTTCCCTCTGACCTTGGAAGCTGTGAAAGGCTCACATGGAGCTGAGCAGAGAAGGGTATGGCCCTTGCAAGGGATGATACCCATGGCCACTTCTACAGCTGGACAGAGCTCTCGCTCTGTGCTCCCAGGGAAAACTCCCCTGTGGAAGCAGGCTGGCTGACCAAGCCAGGCGGGAGGGTGAGAAGACATCCGATTCGGACCCCGTACAAAATGCATTGCGGCAGGATGTGGTGACGCTCGCTCTGCAACAGAGCCGTGACAAAAGGCACACAAGCCAGGCAAGGCCCACATGCCTGGTGCGCAGGCTTCGTCGCAGCTGCCTTCCCAAATAGGCGTTCACCCGAGATGCCTCATCTTTTCCTTGTGTCTCCTTCCACCTCCAGCAATCGGCCACTGGCACGCCATGAAGCCCAGGCCTGCTTTACTACGGAAGATGCCCCGTGACTACATTACCATGAATTGCGGCGCTCTGAAGGCTGGTTGTACCACAGCCCACGAATTTAATTTGTACTATGAGGCCAAGGACATTCGGTGCAAAGTGGATGAGGAGAGTCGCTTCAAGAGGGGACCTCCTAAAGTACCTGCAGATATGACTTACGGCATCGTCTCACGGTAAGGGGGATAGCTCGGGGCCCTCAAAAGGAGATACCCCGCCTGCTCTCAGGCCTGCATCTCCCCCACCTCTCAGCCAGCAGTGTCTCCAGAAGAGAAGTGCCTTGAACCTAGACATGCTGCAAATGACTCGCGGTAGCATCTTGCTACCAGATTGCACCCGTATGTCAGATAATCAACTACCTAAATCCTGTCTGCATGCCACAGCATGTCCCCATTTAACTGCTGGTAGTAAGGGCTTGTAACCCCTTAAAAATACATTCAATGCCAACCCTTTAATTTAAAGGAGCATGATGAATTGTGAGCTAGACTTGCTGCTTCCCGGGGTCATTTATGCCGGTAGAAAGTGATACTAAGGCAGAACAGCATTTCTGTCTGTGTGTACTGCTTGAAATACTCTGATGCAATTAAGGATTAGTTCAGGCTCTTCATCCCACTGTCTCTCCCACTTGTTAATTCATAACCTAGCATTGGCTCCTTTAATTTGGTACAGCCCAGGGTCTGGAGGGGAGCCGATCTCCGCAGCTCCCCAACCACCTCCCCTCACAGGGCATAAGCCTGCCTGTTCCCCCCTTGCAATGCAGCCGGATGTTTAGGGCTTCAAAACTGAGGTCTGTTGCATCGTGGTCTCTTCCCAAAAAATTTACAAAGCACCGAGCACGTGAGCCGTGCCTGAGGTTCATACAGACACAGCATTTGGAAGCAGCAGCAGAAGCAACCTGCCAAACGTGCCCCTCGCACCCCAGCTCCCAGCTGTCCACAGCGCTGCTTTCTCGCAAGTAGTTGTGCAACAGGGAGTCTGCAAGGGAAGACGTCAGCACCTTGCTCCAACATGGCCCTTCCGCTGCCCGCCTAGTGCTGGAGCGCGAGGGAGGCCCGAGGACACAGCCATCCGGAAGAGCTGGGAGGAGTCCAATGCAAACAAGTGCTAAAAGCCTTGGAAAGGGGCTCCAGAGCAGCCCTTCTGCTGCAGCGCAGAGGGTTTTCATGCTCTGTGAAGGTCTGGCTAGACATTAGGTTTCATTTTAAGAGCTGGATAATAATCACTACCAGAAAAATAACAGCTACAAATTCTAGAGAAAGGACGTGATAAACGACACTGTGTATTTTACATGATAGTAAATGGGCTTTGCATATGCAAATTGAATGGATTTTAAAATGGTATTTAATGACAATTTTCGTAGCAGACATTAACATTAATTGCATCAAAATGAAAATGCAGCATTAGCTTGCTGTTAGCTGCAAATGCCCCAGCTATAAAGCTTTATCTTTATCAGTATCAGCCCTCACTGATGTGACAGGGCTGCTCTGCAAATTGCAGGCAAAAGGGCTTTTATGTTGCAAAAGTATCCCCCAACGTAGACCAAAATCAACATCAATTTTGCTTTATTTCTTCATAAACGGAGGTTAAATGGCTGCCTGTAAGAAGTCTAGGCACATTTCAAAAGTTTTGAGGAAAATCTGCAGACCCCACAGCAGCAGGAGTAGTGGGAAAGGGCTTTTAATTTAAAGTTATTATTGTACAACTTGTCTGCTACCTTTCATGCAGACCGATTGTATTTATCCCTTTACTTTAAAAGCATGTTATAGACAAAATCAAATTACTAGCATTACCAAGGAGTTGTTACAGCCATTTGGGTAAAAGCAGGGAATTTAACTCACTTTTCACAACTCGCAAGTTAAAGATATCAGCACGGGTAGGAGCTCCCCAGGCCTATTCTGCCTCCAGTTACAGCTCACCAGTTGCAGCAAGGCCATTGGCATTGGGCTGAAATTTGGCTAGTGGTCAGCTCTCAGTGGTAGACTCAGTGCGGGATTCCCATTTTACCAGCTTTCCAGCTTCGTGGATTGGCACAACCGTTAACTGCGCTCCGTTTGAATCTGTAGCATCTGCTGAGGTTGTCAGACACCCTCACAGATGAGAAATGCAAACAGATCCAATATTCCCACAGGCAAATGCAAGCATAGAAGGATTCCTGAACCTTGCAGTCACCATTCAAGTAATGGAGCAGGACCCCAGCAGCGCATCAGGCTGTTAAACTACCCTGTTAAAAATGTCTCAGTTGTCCATGGATTTAAGTTGCTTCTGCTTACAGATCCCAAACCCTGCATGACTCCATCGCTAGTGCTGCTAGATGGAAAGGTGCTCTTGATTAAGATACGAGCTGAGCTGAGGGCAGAATAGGAGAGAACAGCAGCATACGGTCCCTTTCCATGACTCTAAGCGCTCGCTTTCCTTTAGAAATGTCCACTTTGATAAACATCTCAGGTGCAATGAAGTTTTTCTCACTGACAACAGAGCCTACAGTATTACCTTGCCCAAGGCACAGTGCAGAAGGCGCAGCCCGGGAGGCCAAGGAGCAGAGATGCCTTTCCATCACACTGGAGTTGCCTGCAGTGGATGCAGCTGCAGCAGCCCTGCCTGATCATGTCACAGAGCATGTCCAGCCCATGCCGAGCTCTGTAGCCTCTCCCTGTGCCAAGCAGCAAATCAAAGCCTCCAGGTTTGCCTCAGGGCTCTACTGCAGCTCCTTTGCACCACTGGAATTGCACCTAGGGCCAGCACGCAGCCTCCAAGCTGGGTGTTTCTCACCCAGGACAGCAGTGCAGGGCATTATCAGGACCAAACAATACAGCAGCTGTCACAGGAACATATCTGAAGTCCTACAACTCCTACAACCTACAACCGTCAACAGATAAAGCACAGAGTACTAGAACTGTGGCAACATTTCTCCAGTCCCTTCTCAGGCACTGGGCTACAGCACTAAAGGCTTGCCTGTCTCCTAAAGCCACCAAGGTCAGGACTTTTCCCCAGGCTCCCAAGTGCAAGTTATACTTGGATCATCCCAAAGAGAAGTGAACAGAGATAATGCTGGGGTTGCTATTAGTGCCTTATTAATCATGCCCTGGCCCTGCTGCTCCCTCTAGCACAGCAGATCGCTTATGCCTCCACTTTCCGTTCACGGCGGCTGCAGACTGCATTTCACAAAGCTCTGTCACAGACACCGGAGCGAGCCTGAAGCTTTGGGGCCTGTTTCCTTTCACGGGACATTTACCTCCAAAGGTCACCTGTGCCCCTCTGTATTTATTCCCCATGGGCATCTTCTAGGGGAGAGAAGCTGCTCTGCTCTTTTGCTGATTCCCCTCCCTACCATTCCCTCCCTCCTTCCCTCTTCCCTGAGAAACATTTGCTGCGAATCATGTGGCCAGCTTTGTTGTGAGAGTCATAAAAAGGACATTTTTCATCTCTCCTTTTTCCTGCTCTCGCTCCCTCTCTCTCTCAGTATCAGACAGAGATTTATTCCCTCCCTGATGCCTGTGGCATTCGGAGCTGGGAGGGGTCAGGGGAGGCACTGATGGGACGATAATAGATAATACAGTGGTTCCCCAGGGTCTTGTCCAGCTCCACAGCCTATCCATCAGCAGGCAGCGCTCGTGCCAAGGTCAGCGGTAACGAGGATGCGGTAGGGTCCCGGCCGCCCCCACGGGGCATCCTCCAGTCAGGCTCCTCCGATTCATGCTGTGGCTTCTGATCTCTGCAAGAGCTGCCTTGTGCAAGCCATGATTCGCAAAAGAGAGCACATCCACGGAGCAAGCATGCTGGGGGAACCGCCACGTTATATAGCATACGCATGTTCGGCTTTGCCCGCCCCAGCCCTCAGCCTCACTGTGAACAGCTCTGTAGACTTTCTTTCAAGGAGGATGCCAGTCATTAGCAACACCTCCTCCAGGAGCTAAACCCATGCCATCCAGGTAGGCACTTTGCGCACAACATACAGCATGCTGTAAGATGCTTACAGATTAGGGTTACTGTTCTCCTTCAGAGGGACCCCAGTCCCTCTGTGTCCCCTGGTCTTTTCCTTTTAAATAACCACCCCTCCCAATGCAGTGCTACTAGCAGGTGTATTCAGCCCCGTCTTCTTCTGCATACTGACCTTGTTTTACAAAAAGGAGGATTCAACGCACTGAGCGGCCAAATTTTTTTTGGTACTCGAGATCTAAAGAGACAGAGGTTCTGTGAAGACCTCCAGGATCTTCCCCAGTATCAACAGAGCTTGGTATGCAGGTGTGTTTGGAAGTCTCAATAGATGTCCAGGTCCATAATTAGCCTCCTAACCACCTTTTCTGATTGAAGCTTACTCTGTGCTGAAAACAGCAGGCACTAAGTGGTAATTTTTAGAACTTAAGTATACAGGTGCTGCCTACAGCTATATTTTAGATTATGTTGATTTGCACAGGGTCTTTGAAGCAAAAAACAAAGACAAAAACCAAAACAAAAACACACCAGGGTGCAACTGGCAAACCAAGCACAAGTCTTTTGACAGCACAAGTCTTTGATCTAATGACAGATATTATAGCAGTGTAGAACACATCCTTAGGATGAGCAGTGTCCTTACAATGGCATTTCCAGGACTGCTTTTAGAGAAAAGCTCTCATTTGCCTCTCATTTACTAATGCAAGTTTTCTAATTCTGCCTTCTACATGATACAACATGTTGGTGGACACAAGGAGCTGCACAGACCTGCTGTTTGCTCCCACCCAACACTTCTACCTCCCCCAAACCCTGCATGGCCATAACCCTGCCTCGGACACGTTGCCATCCTCTTGGCAGTTGGCCTGGAGGTTGGGCTGACCTTGGGCGTGCTGGCAGGATTTCCCTGGCACTCTGTCATCCATGCAGCTCCTGCCGGGTCCCCCTACTGTCTACTTGCACTTCAGCCATCCCTTTCCTGAATTTCACATCCTACTTTCCTTCTAACTTCATCTCCTCCTACCATTCTGCCTCCCACTCTCTAAAATCGATCTTAATCCTTTGGCAGCTGCTTCATCGCATCGCCCCAGCAAACTCACCTGTCTAAGCATTTGGGCACTGCCATCTCCCTACTTCAAACTGGTACAACTGGCCAAAGGGATCAGTTATCCAGTACCTCCCTCTCGTCTTCATATCCTCTATAATTGCCCTGAAGCTCTGCTGACAATTGTCTCAGTGGCCTTTAATG